AGCGGAAGCTTTTGACGGACTCGGCTTGGGAACTGCTGCTGGCGAAGCGGAAGCTTTTGCCGGACTCGGCCTGGGAGCTGTTGCAGGTGGTGAAGCTGAAGCTTCCCCCACTTCTGAGGGACTCGGCTCGGGAACTGCTGCTGCTGCTGCTGGAGGTGGCACTGTGGCAACTTCTCGTGGATTTGGCACGGGAAGCACTGCTGGGGCGAGCTGTGTCTCGGGCAGTGGCTGCAGGTGCAAGCTGTCCGTGTTCAAGGATGGAACAACAGACAGACAAGGGCCACTCGGCTGGCCTTGTCCATCTTCTGAGCTCATCCTTCCCCAACCAGGTGGAGCCTCTGACTCCAGCAAAGTCTCCTCCATATCTTCCCCTCCAGCGCCGGAAGCCTTCGGGCATACAAACAAACAAACATACATACATACATACATGCATGCATACATACATACACATACATACATACATACATACATACATACATACAGACATACATACATATATACATATATACATGTCATGCAGTCCGATCACACACACACACATACCCATATATATGTTTTTACATGTATATGTACACAGGTACATGCTGTATGCATGTATACACAAGCTGTGTGTGTCTGTGTGTGGGTGTGCCCGTATATTGATGTTTGCATGTGTACCCCGCATAAGGATAGCCCCAATTGCACGGCTTCCAGGCGCCAAAGCAGCAGCTGAGCGATCGAAGCAGACTCAGAACAGGCGCGGGGAGAATATATAGGACACCACTAGAATGCAGGGGTTGTGCAAACCAGGTAATGGTGTTGCCCTAGAACAGCCCAGCCCTAAACTTTTATTAGACTCTGTCGGAACTGATCTCGGTTGCAGAAGCTCGAACCGTTGCTAATAAGGTTTCGGGTTTACATAGTTTATATGGAGTTAATATTGTGGTTTAAGGTTTTTGGGTTCGGGGTTTAGGGCATGGGGTTTCGGGCTTTATACAGTTTTTGGTATCGTTTAAATTGGGCTGTACTAGCTTCGGGTTCATGCAGTCTTTCTTCACTATTTGAAGAAAACAGCTTCAGTCCTTCAACGAGGTCGTGCTTCAAAGCTTTCACTAGCCAAGGCATCTTTGGGCATGGATTGTTTACATCGATCTGTTTATGCCTGCAGTAACGAAGACCGGAACAAGGCCCCAATCGAGCATCGCCGACTACTCAATGCCCTATATACAAACCCACACAACCTTAACTTCCCTAAATATAACTATATAATATATACTCTCTCTATATCTCTATATATATATATATATACACAATACAACCCTTACCCTAGAAAACCTTATATGGGGCTTTCGAAAACTCAGGAACCCCGGAACCAGTACATGGCCTCGTGTTCCCCATCGTCAGAAGGAACATCGATGACACCGGTGGTCAGCTCTTGGAACAGTTCCTGCATGGCGAGGCAATTGTGATGGGCACAGAGGTTATACAGGATAGGGGTTTATTGGCTTATATAGGGTTTCTAGATTTGTAGGGATTGTCAAGATGTTTGGTCATCCCCATTTAAAAAGGCAAGGTTTTTTTTAGGGTATCGTTGATTTTGGGCAGACCTGCATCTCTTCCTGTAGAGCTGCTTCCTCGTCATCCACAGGCTCTTGCTTCATCCGTAGCATCTCCACCAAAGGCGTGGTTGCCAAAGCGATGCCCCGGACCAAGGTCTCCGTAGACCCACGTCTAGTGGGCAGAGATTCAAAGGACATCGGGTCGATACACTTTAGTCGAGCCCGCACAATCGAATGCAGGCACAGCTCTCGAACAAGCACAAGCAGAGACTTGTCAACTCTGACATTGTCAGGGTACAAGCAGCACAAACCCATGCACCCACCCCAACCCCCAAACCCCCAATCTCCAGTCCCAACCCACCCCCACCCCAACCCTGACCACCTTGTAGGTCGCTGTGCCGGGCGGTTTTGGTGGATGGTTTGGGCCGTTCTGGAGGTCTGGGGCTGGGCCGGTTTTGGGCATTCCGCTAGTTTCCGCCTTTTGGACGCGAGTTTCCGCTATTTGGACGCCTGTTTCCGCAATCTCGGGCTGGGCCGGTTTTGGGGCATTCCGCTAATTTCCGCCTTTTGGCCGCGAGTTTCCGCTATCTGGACGCCTGTCTCCGCAATCTCGGTTCTGGGTGGTTTGGGGTCACCCCGGCAAAAAACGCTCTTTGGATAGGGGGTTCTCGGGCTTATTTGGGGGCCGGATTCCAGGATTTCAACACGAATTTCGGCTATACAAGGGCTTGCTTGGTCCTGAATTCGGGCTGCCCGGTGTGTTCTGCGAGAGTAGCAAGCCAGCAGCCACAACCTTTTCTGCAAGCCTTCCCAGCTAATTGCGTGTCTGCAAATCCAATTACACTGGCACACCATAGCTGCAAGCTAGAGCTCAAAAGCAGCTACTTGTAAAGGCTCCAGCATTCATCGAGACTCTTCGGAATCAAGCGCTTAAATGATTTCGGCACGGTGACCAGATTGCTGCATCGTAGGTAGACCATGCACTCCTCCAGCCCAGCCTCTCCCCACTTCTCAGATGGATAAGCACCGAAGGCATCTTCCAGTGGGGTAGTGAGGCGCATGGCCTGTATACAAGCATGATTTCATTCTGTGCGACAAAGGAATATATGGTTCAGGTATAAAGTTTGGGTTCAGGGATAGGATTCTAGTGTTTAGGGTTTAGGAGGTTATTGTTTAAGCTTATAGGGTTCTATATGGTTTAAATATTAATATTTAAATTAAACTTATATAGGGTTTAGGATTTGGGGTCTAGGGTTTAGAAGGTTATGGCTTAGGTTTATAGGATTAGGGTTCAGGGTTATAGCAATTAGCACAGAGACCGCAGGGCCCCAAACCTATCTCACCCCTCTCGGTGCCCCTCTCCCTCCGGGCGCACTCGCTCTCGCTTTATAACTATACCTCTGTCTCTCTCTCTCTCTCTCTCTCTCTCTCTCTCTCTCTCTCTCTCTCTCTCTAATGCACCAGCCAAATTGAACTGCAAGGATGTGCCACTGGCCTCTGAAGGCGGCTGCAAGCGAGCAGGACCGTACCGCATAGCAGGAAGCAGATCAACGAGAGCTCGGGCAAATTTTGCAGGATATCGCCTCGAGTGAATGCATGGAGGAGGGTTTCTTAAGGGAGTGTGTCACTGCATTATGTTGCTGGCAGGGAACTGGGTCTCCTTTAGCTTTCGACTGCCTTGAAAGCAACGAACCCCATGACGGTTGCAAGAATGGCGAACACCATTTTGGCCACCTCTCTCCTTCTTGTCAAGCTTGCCTGCCCTCAAGGCTCGGATCATAGGGCAGTTGGACCAGCATATTGTTCTTTTCGGTATCCAATGAGCATACTTTCTCATCCAGAATTTCTCTTTGAATGTCTTGGCTGCACCAGGGTCACTAGCAACATCTTGTGTAGTTAGCTAACAGACTAGGCTGCTGCGTACAAGGTGCCCGGATCCCAAGCGCAGCGAAAGTACGTAGAAGCCATTGAAACCGATCATGCATGTACACCAGAGAGCTTGCGGGTTGTTCCACCACCCATACAGCATTCAGTAGATGAGCCGTCAACATAAGGAGGATCGCCCTGCACACGAAGACCAACTCAGACCAACAACAAGCTATACAGTGTTATGGTTAAGCTGTAGGACGGTATCTCGAATCCTGCCTGCTTGTAAACATGTTTGACTGTGCAACACTCGGCAAGCACCGGTTCCCCATCGGTGTTAAGGGGCTCCTCCTAGAAGTGCCCCGATTGATGAGGACATACGTCGAACATTCGATCCCCAAGAAGATCGCAGCTCCCTCTGGATTTGCGCAAAGCAGCATATAGACGGCAAGCCTGGGCTGCAAGCACATAGTGGATTTGGTATCTTGGGCCGTTGGGTGACCTTACATATGGTTGAGGGTTTATATATAGGGTTTATTGGGGCTTATATTAATCTATATATAGGGTTGCTAAGGTGCAGTTGCCGTGTTTCAGGTTTCGAGCTGCTGCATAATTTTGGGGCCTTTGGGGCACGAGACTCAGACTATACTGCTCCATACTACTACGTATACCACTATACTACTCTTGCTGCTGCTGCTGCTGCTACTAGACTTCTATGATACTGCTACTGCTACTGCTACTACTACTACTACTACTACTACTGCTACTACTAGTACTACTACTACTATTACTTACTACTATCTTACTACTATACTACTATACTACACACTGCTACAGTTTAAGTTTCGGGTTCAGGAGTTGCGGTCTCGAGAAAGAGGCACTGGAGGTGTTGACAGTTGGGTGTGCAGAAGCCAGAACCAGTTCATATTTCCAGAATCAGCAAATGAAAGTGATTCCTATAAGGAGCAACCAACAAGCCCTTAAGCTCCCATAAACAATGCCCCACCGACTGTTGAGTACAAGGGTTCAACAATTGTCAAATACGTTTTGCATAGGAAGATCCTTCCCCAAAGTGAAAGCCACTTCCAATTCCGAAGCGAACAAGGCTTCGACCCTACAAGGGTTTTAGGGTTTAGAGTTTTGGGGTATAGCGTTTTAGGGTTTTAGGGTTTGGGGTTTCTAGGGTTTAATTATATAGGGTAATGTAGCAACCAACAAGCCCTTAAGCTCCCATAAACAATGCCCCACCGACTGTTGAGTACAAGGGTTGAACAATTGTCAAATACGTTTTGCATAGGAAGATCCTTCCCCAAAGTGAAAGCCACTTCCAATTCCGAAGCGAACAAGGCTTCGACCCTACAAGGGTTTTAGGGTTTAGAGTTTTAGGGTATAGCGTTTTAGGGTTTTAGGGTTTGGGGTTTCTAGGGTTTAATCATATAGGGTAATGTCAATCTATTCGTTGCTCAACTCCCGAGTTTGTCAGTTCCACAATTGTGAGGGCAAAGAGCAGCCTCAAATCCTTCATGGATGCATCCCAGCAGGACCGCACCGGCTAAGAGCTTTCCAGTTCAGGGTCGAAAGGGCACTAAAGGGGTTCTTTTGACGCCTGGAGGGTCAGATTGAACCTTGAAACTCATAATCCTGCACCACAAACCCTGATCTCCCTAGAAACCCTTGCGAAGCCTTGTAACCAAAGCCTCAGAAAGACTGCAATCGCAAGCCTAGCAGCGCATAGCCAGCAGAACCGTTCATGTTCATGCTGCTTTTGAAACTATTCTTGTCGAAGAGGATATCATGAGCTAGCACGTTCCAACCAGCAGCTTGTCCCAGCCTTGCTATCCGTGCTGTCCCAGCAAAATACTCTATGATGTCCGCCTGTCGTAATGCCATTGGAGTCGGCTCCATCCAGGACACCAGCAGGAAGATGGCCACGAATGCCTTGGATGTGTCTTTCTGCAAATTTGCTTCTGGGCTGTGTACGGGTTGGGGCTTTCAAGGTGAAGGACTACATAGGTTTATCCTTTGTAAGGGTTTTCGATGTTAGGAGTATTATTTGTAAGGAATGGGGGTTTCAGGCTGCAGTTAAGTTATTTTGTGTTTTGAAGTTTGGGGTAGATGTGCCGCTTTGATGCACACAGCCTGGCGCCTTGCCGGTCTAAAAGCAGCATAAGGTTCAAGTAGGGTTTGGGGTGGAAAGGCTTTTAGGGTGTGGGGCGATTAGGGTGGGAAAGCTTTATTCTTGTTGTAGTAGCAGCAGCATGCAGTAGTAGAGTAGTATACAGCAGCACACGATCTCGGAGCGTCTCCGCTTCAATAGCAGTATAGTATATATAGTGGTATAGTAGTAGTATACAGTAATCGTATAGCACGGATTTGGCCCTGGACTCGAGAGCACACTTACCAGACTTACTGGTGGTGGTGGTGGTGGTGGTGGTATAGTAGTAGACAGCAGCATCGGTGCAATTCAGTGGCAGCAGCAGCAGCAGCAGCAGCAGCAACAGCATGCAGTAGTTTTGTAGTAGCAGTGGTTGCAGAGTCGTATAGCCACAGAAGTGGCATAGTCGTCGTGGTCATCGTGGTATGGTTCTAGTATAGTTTTGTAGTATAGTGGTGGTAGTAGTAGTAGTAGTAGCAGCAGCGCTATAGTAGTATAGTAATATATACTAGTATATACATTGGTCTATGGGTATATCTTGTTATGACATCAAGTTAATCATGCCACTTTCGGAGCATTGAGGGCCATCAAGCGTCTGGCAGCAACTTCGACGGCATCTGCTGTTAGCATTGCTGGCCGATGCTGACAAGCAGGTCGATCACCCTTTAACTCTCAAAGCTCTAAATGCCTATGCAGTGGGTATACCCTGACATTGTATCGTATCCGTATCTAGCACCCCGAGAGCCCTGACCTACAAAACCTTCCGCTTGGGTGCCGGCTGACTATGCATCGTGGATGAAAAGACACGATGTTTGCTTCAGCAATCAAAGTCGACTACAGGCATCGATCACGTCCCAAACTACAATGGACTGATACAGCTGCACGACAGCAGGTGTAAACCTCGAAGCCAACCTTGATAAGTTTTAAGTAAGCCCTGATTCCACGCAAGAAGGGTTTTAGGTTAACTGGGGTTTTATATATTTAAAGGGTTTGGGTGTCCTGTAAACGAGCAGCTCGCCCCTGCTATGTAGAAACCCCTATAACGCCGCCCAAACCCGAGGCCCTTTTATAAACCTACATATGTGCTCAAGGCTATATTACCCCCAATTTCAAAACCTCGAAGCCAATATAATCCTTGGTAAGTGAGTCCTGCTTCCACACAAGAAGGGTTTTAGGTTAACTGGGGTTTTATATTTAAAGGGTTTAGTGGGTGTCCTGTAAACGAGCAGCTCGCCCCTGCTATGTAGAAACCCCTAAAGCCGCCCAAACCCGAGGCCCTTTTATAAACCTACATATGTGCTAAAGGCCCTATTAACCCCAAATTAAGAACCGTATAGCCCCAAAACAGGATCAAGCCCATAAGCGCCGAACCTTCGTGTAAGCCCATTATATATAGATATATATATATATAATATATATATATGTATATATATATCTCTAGAAAAAGAAACCCAGCCTAGTCACTTTATAGATGTACGAGACTCAAGCAAGATGACATTGAAAGGGGCCGGGTTGTTTCGTTAATCATCTACATTTCAGCAGGGTTCCCTAGAATACGATTTAAACACTGCATAACTCGAGCTATAATTGCTACACCGTGGGTTTATAGCGAGGGGTTTATGTAGGTATCCTATTGTCAGCACAAAACTCGCCGGTTGGACTTTGCGGGCCCAAGGAGACACCTCGCTTCAGCAGCGCACCGATGTTCTGCCGGCGGTTCATCAGTACCTGCTCGGGAAGCTTGGCAGCGCTTTGTTACGGCTACACAGGGGAAAGGCTTGCTATGGGATCACGGCACTCAATTCTCTTGCGAAGGCAGAGTTGGCACGTTTGTTTTCCGGAAGTTGCAATGGCCTGTGACGTGAGCGCTTCGCCCCATCATGAGGTTCACCCCCATGCTAGACTTGCGAGCTTCCACATATCGGATGTCAGAGATTAAGCTAGGACCGCCGAGATATGCTGGGAAATATAGATATATTGGTAATTATTGGACATCTGACATCCCATGCATGGTGTCGCACCCTTGAAGCAGCATTGCAGGCTACGAGCAACAAGGAACTTCATGAGATAAGCTGAAAATTCAGGTCGTCGTTCCCCGAAGAACACCCGCTTTCTGAAGCAGCTGACAGGATAAGGTTCATATAAAGTAAATTATCCAAGCCAGCCTTGTAGTCGAGCACGGAGTCAGGCTCCACAGCTTGGCTTTGGGGTTCCTTTGGTTCTGCTGGGGCTGGTGCTGAAGGCTCTGCTGGGGCTTCTGCTGAAGGCTCTGCTGGGGCTTCTGCCGAAGGCTCTGCTGGGGCTTCTGTTGCAGATTGTGTCATTGATGCTTCCGGGGTGGGTTTCTCCGGCGACTCACTAAAGCAAAGGGCCCTTCTAAGACACTCCATGCTTTCAGTTCTCGACTCTACTGGAGCTGAGGCTGCTGGGGCTGCTGGCTCCTCCACTTGCGTGGTTGGCATCTTGCTTCCTGGCTCGAGGCCGGGCGGAGAGTCGAGGTCTACGAAGGAAGGACACTTGGAGATCGTCTGAGCAACGAAATCAGCATTGATGAAGGGCTGTGTCTCCAGCCGGGACGGGTCAGCATCATCACCGGAGCCTAAGCCCAACATCATGTATGTCTACATGGCCGACGACTTGATCATGCATGTTTTCCTAGCAACATATGCACCGCAACCTGCAAGACAAGGCGCATGGCTTCCGGCCAGCCGACATTCGCTTCTCCGCGGGGCGAGCCCTTAGATTGATTAGTGGTTGCTACAATCCATGCAAGCATATCGGGCATGAATAATGTGACACATGTTTTGGCAGACAACCTGACAATATCGACAAGCAGCCGGATAGACTGCAGTCGAGCAAGCTTATCCTGGATAGCCTGGCTCTGCTTCGTCGTCTTGTTCACCGCAGCACCAGTCATCTCCATGACCCGATGAACCACCTGACCATCAGCTCCATCACTCTTCTCCGGGACCAACTGCACAGCCTGATCAGGCAATGTGACCTTGTGTGCGGTGGCATTATCCGACTGGACATCGAGCAATCCACCATCACTATTCTCGGGGACCAACTGCGCAACCTGATCCGGCAATGTGGCCTCGCGTCTGGTGGCATCATCCATACCATCACTTTTGTCTAGGACCGACTGAGCATCGAGCAATGTATCATCACCCGTCTCTGCGACAGCCTGATTGAGCGACGAGGCCTCGTGTGGGGCGGCATGATCACCATCAGCCACCTCTTGGACCAACTGACGAACATCATCAGCACCATCAGCTTTCGCATGCTCAGTCCCCTCCTCCATGGCTTGCATCTCGTCGTCCTCAGGCAAAGCATAATCGAAGTGCTCCAGGCAAGGAGTTGAACGCACACCATTTTCATCATCGGAATCCAAGCCCGCAAGCACAAGGTAGGCTGCGGGAGGTGGTGGTGGTACAACAACATCACCAGATTCAAGTGCACCTTCCTCTCCAGCTGCCGGCTCGGCTGCAGGGCCTGCATTATCAGCTGACAACTCATCCGGCGATCCCCATTTCTGCACCGTCAAATCCATCATGGCTTGCAGCCTTGAGTCCTTGCATGCAATGCAGAGTTAATCAAAGGCATATTGTATGCTTACGTGGCTGCTCACACAAGCACACATCACAGCAGCAGCAGCAGCAGCAGTCCCTGAATGAACGGATGCCCGAACGGAAGCGCCGGATAGCAAGGCTGACCAACCTCTTGCATCCCCATTGGTCTACCACCACATCAACCGGGTCTGGCTGTGGCGCGAACATGTCGTGTAGCCGTTTTACCTTCAGGGTTTCGACTAATCTACATTCAGAACTGCAAACCTGGGTATGAAGATGGCTGTCACGAAGAGATGCAAAATCAATCCACAAGCCTCGTCCCTCACCCACCGGATAGGCAGAGACTTTGGCTCGCGACAAACATCACCCCACACATCGATCAGGATCATAATGGTGGTTCTGTTCAGAACCAAGGATGCTTGGTTTGCGGCACCGATCGTCACTCGACTAGTCCAAGCCAAGAGCTTCTTGCCATCCCGCATCTGCTGCCTGATAAAAGCATCCTTTTCCCAGGCTGCAGCAAGGTGCCCTGCAGGTGGCAACACCACCTCTATCGTATCTGCCGAATCCTCCTGCCCGCCCATTGCACTACCAAGCTCAGCAGCAGCAACAGCCATGTATACTTTACACCGACGAACACCTTTGGCCCGAACACATCTGCGATGAGCACTTCCGAGACCGCATGCACACGACATGTGATAAGTGCATGTGCCAGCACTGAATCTGAAGTTCCTATAAGGACATACACATGCATGCAGGGGCACCGTCCAAAGAAGAAGTGCTGCAGCTGCCAGCACAAAGCCCGGCCAACCTGAACAGCGCACTCCACAACACCACAAAAGTCGGCATCTGCACGAGTGTATGCTTGCGAATCCAAGACACCCGCACGACAATCAAAGCCAAAGCGACGACCCACGGCCTAGAGCAGGCCAGCACAATCTCTGCAATATACGTGCATGGGTTTAAATGCATGCATGTTCTATACTCATGCATGAAGCTGGCCTTCTTCGAAGAATTGTGGATTGTGGTGCTTGTAGTGCTGCAGGAGTCCTGTCCGGGGTTGGGCTTGGGGCTACACAACGCAAAGCTTAAGCGTGGATGGTGGCTTGCAATTGCTTGTCTAAGTCCATGTACGAGTAGCACCCATGCGTTGGCCTTGTCCGAAGGCTGGATGTGGCCCAGCTTCTCCACGTCGCAGGAGGCCTGCAGAGGGAAGTCTGACGGTTATTAAATGGAAACTGTAAATGAATTGGCCTCGTCGGAGGAATCAGGATTCCGAAATGGAAACCAGCGGAAAACCATTGCCTGCGAGGGAGTTTAAAGTATAGCAAGATCCATTTATTCTCACAAGCTTGCAAGCATAGAGGGTCATTGGAGCAATACGAGAGGCCTTTTTAAGCTCACCTCGCACAGGCTGCATTGATTCCCCCAGCTAAGCCTGGCATACGGTCTCCTTGTAAACTGGCTGTCCTTCGCAAGAGTGCCCAGCTCGCCCAAACACCATGGATCAGAGAACCTTGTCAGGCACTGGGTCATCGGAGGATGGCGTTGGTTACACGATGCGAGTTGCGGAAAATCGCTCAACAGCTCAGGGCTAGGCTTTCGATCGGCTCGGTTCTTCGGAAAAGACCATTTTAAAGAATAGACAGATCCCACCGAGTCGTATGTTGTAGACGATCATCTCCACAGCATCATCAGCGCACGGAAGTTCCTCGACAAATCCCGAACCCCAGGCCCCAAGACTCCTCGATAGCAAAAAAAGTTGGGTTATAAGATTGTCTAGGCTTTCTGATACAAAGGGTTCCAACACTTAGGGAGTTCATAGTTTAGAGTAGCAGAGCCCTCCAACCCCAATATAAGACGTATACAATACATATACTACTACAAGAAACTCGTGAGTTTGAATGTTACGATGCTCACACATGGCATGGATTTAAATCATTTCAATCTGCTGTCCTGACTGGAGTACAGGACACGAACGCACGAGTGCCAAAACTTGTCCGGCATCTGCATGAGTCCTGCGCTGCACACATGTCCAGAGACCCGGGCTAGAACAACTGACCAAATTGTCAAGATTGACGAACAATCCTTCGGAATGGGCCAGCGTCACCCCTCTCGCCGAGCAGTTGCTCATACAAGAAGCAGCCATGGGCTCCCAGACTTATTCGGCTTTCGAAACCCTACAGAAGTTCAAAGGAGCGCTTGAGAATGAAGCAACCCAGTAGCACACAAGCACAGCACAGCTCCCCCACAGCGAGCAAAGTCAAGAGGGCGGGGGCGCACCTGGCCTAAAGGCCACAGCACATGTGGACAAATGCACTTGCCCGAAATCTGCTAGACTGTGGGAAGTAGGGTTTGCAACCCTGTATATTTAAAGCCCTATAAGTCCGAATATTTCCTTGTGGGGTGCAAGACATGTAACGAGGCTATATAGTGTGCAGACGATAAAGGGATTGTGCAAGACTTCGTTGCGAATTGTTGTTTCAAGAATGATATGCAAGATGAAAAGAATCTCGAAGCCAGAGCATCAGCTTTGTTCCGAAGTGACAGGCAAAAACGCCACGTCTCCGAAGTGCTCCTTCCAAGAAACGCAGGCAGTGCAAACCAAAAGCGCCATCTCCCCGAACAAGAAACGCTATGATATAAGGCAAGAAACGCTATGATTGGTATCCGAAAATTTATGTCAGAACCTCATTTAAGCAGGAAACGCAGTCGGCCCAACATTTCCGCCATGTCGCCCTCAAAACCTAAAATTAGCCAAAAGCCTAAAATTATGCATCAGACGGTTTCGTAGGCAGGAACAGCGCGCACATGTTGGCGGCCGTGGACCGCAACGAACAATGCACAAAAACCTCCGCATCCAACAGTGGCAGGCTGGAGCATGGAAGCCAGCTTGGCTCAGAGCATATGCGGCTGACAAGCAACGCAGAGCCCAGGAAGCCGCTGCTGCAACCGAGGACGCCAACCTGGAAAGTGCCGAGCTTGCCAATGACGAGCCTGTGGAAGAGCATGCCCCACTAGAGGAGGAAGACACGAACTGGGTGCAGGATGCCCTTACTGGATGGTGGAGCCGCCGGGACGAGCCCGCTATGCCAAGTCCTCCTCAGCAAGAGCCTGTTAATGCCTGGGTGAATTGGTCGTGGGATCCGAGCCTCACCTCATCCTCGTCTTCAACACTGTGGAATGGACAGGGAAGCACGTGGGAGACGTCAGCGAGGGCTTCTGGGAGAACCAATACGACACCCTCTACAACTGCTTTGGCTTGGACCTCGTCCCGGACCTCGTCTTCTACCTCGCCGTGGCCTTTATCATCTTCTGCGACTACAACGTGCATGTCCTGGACCTCGTCCTCTACCTCGCCTTGGCCTTCTTCGTCTTCTGCGACTACAGCATCTGTGTGGACCTGCTCTTCATCGACTACGACCTCCTGCACGCCCTCTACTACCACTCTGGATCCTTGGTGGAACCTGAGTGAGAGTGAAGATTGCACGACTACCTCAACAACTGCGTCACTCGGAGATGTGGCAGTGCCGGGTTTTGGCCTGTTCCCTGAAGTGAATGAGGTGGGTCACAATGCTGGCAGGTTCCCTGAGGCTGAGGATGAGGCACAAGGGGATGAAGGGTCACTGATGCAGATGACTCCAGCGGAAAGGGCACGTCTTGAAGAAGATGGAGTACCACCCCGTGTTATTGATAGGTTGGAGACCTACCTGGAGTCGCTTCAAAGACAACAGGATGCAGACCGCGGACCAGAAGGACGTTGGGCCCTGGGACGAATTCATGAAAGACTCCAGCAAGCCATGGATGCACTCGATACGATTGTTGAAGTTGTAGGGCGAAGACTTGTGTCCAGGGGTTACTGGCCAATACAGCGAGTCCCGACCTCAAGCACAGTACAAGTGAACATGCTCGCTTGGGCTAGGCATCTACAAAACATGGCCATCGAGGTCCTGGCGGAGCACATGCAACAACCCCTACGCCATGGAGAAACAGTTCCATCGCCACAGTTTCTGCCTGAGTCTGCCTCGTCTGAGCCGACCTTCAGATCCCCGGAATACAGTGAAGCAGAGGGGACCACGAGTGGTGATGCTGACCTGACCACCGTTCCAGCTGCTTCGTCCTCCTCATCGGGCGGGACTGAGCGTCATCGAGAAAGATCGCGAAGCCCGCCGCACTCCTCGCCTTCTGGACGGGATGATGGTGGCGGTGTTGGGCCGATCAACCTGGATGCTGTGTATGACACTGATGGGGTCAGGGTTGAGATTACAGACCAACTCCGAAGAGTCCTTGATGGTGCAATCTGTGGAATCTGGGCGGATCCGGTGAGCGAACAACCTCAAGCAAATGCCTCTTCCTCTTCTTCATCGACTATCAGAAGGACGACTACCTCGACGACCACGGTTTGTCACCCAGGAATGGACCCCTTCTGGGGGGAAGATTACAGTGAGGATGTTTCGAGCTTCATGCAGTATCAGCAATGCCCCGGGGAACCCTCGTTGACGCCGTCTTCATCGCTGTCGTCTATGTTGGGAAGCTCTACGACCTCTACGAGTACGACAAGCACGCGCAGCCAATCAGATGTGGTGAGGGATGTGGTGAATCAGGCCCTGCAATATGGAGGAACGGTGGACATCGTGGAGGTGATCCGCCGACTTCTCGATCGACAAAGACATCACCGTCATCTTGATCGTCTATTGGGCGAAGCACTGGAGGAATGCCTGGCTTGGATTGATCATCCTCAACAAGCCCTTCCCATGAACGCCGCTGAGTTTGAGAGGGTGATTTGGGAAGCCGTCTCTTTGGAAGCGTCCAGGGGATCATCGCCAAGTTCTACCTCGGCTTTACCCGCACCTGACAACTCCCTGGCAGTTCTTCTTCAGCCTGACCTACCACCTGACGTTGAGGCTGTCACTGCGGCGTTACCTGGTTACCCGCCTTCGGTAGTTCATGGACTGAGACGTCGGGTGTGGCGGAGTCACCTGCGCCGCATTGGCTACTACCCGCAGCAACGACCGCGTGAAGAAAGCTGGATCCCGAGGCCTCTCCACCTGGTACAAGCTAACTCCTCTGTCCCAGTGCTCAACTGGCCTGATGATGAACCACGTCCGACCCCTCCTCACGTGCTTCGCAACAACTTTGGCATGGCCAGTCGGCGTCGTCTTCGCTCTCGTCGGCCTCCTCCTGTTCTTCGCCCTCCCCCGGCTGACAATGGTGGTGGCTCTGACGCACACCCTGCAGGCAATGGTGATGATGCGGCAGGGCGTCGGGGAGATCGCTCTGATCGCTCGGTTCAACGTCGTGAGAGTCATGAGCGCAGTCGCAGTCGTGATGGTGGCCCCTGATGAGTCGGACCTTCTTCTCGTCTCGCTCGGTTACCTGGTTTACTAGTATGTGTGCAAGCTCAGTGAGCCGACTCTAGACCCACCTCGCGCGGAGAAAGAGCCACTGCACATTAAAAAAAAAAACCCTGAACCCTAAACCA